GTCGGATTTGGAAAAGGAGATCTGAAACTTTATGCAACCATTGATTTGGAGAAAGCACGCGTGGGAAGGACTAGAATATTGGGAAAGGAGTATGCTATCCCTAAATGGTATGAGTCTTTTCATATTTACTGTGCTCATTTGGTAACAAATATCATATTCACTGTGAAAGATGACAATCCTATTGGAGCATCCTTAATTGGAAGAGCATATGTGCCTGTTGAGGAAGTGTTGAGTGGAAAGGAAATAGATAAATGGGTTGAAATATTGGATGAGCATAAAAAGCCAATTCATGGAAATTCAAAGATCCATGTGAAGTTGCAGTTTATTGATGTTTCAAAAGACCTAAACTGGGCTCTAGGTGTAAGTCCTAAGTTTGCTGGAATTCCTTTTACTTTCTTTACTCAAAGAGAAGGATGTAAGGTTTCACTATATCAGGATTCTCATGTCCTGGACAATTTTGTCCCGAATATACAACTTGCTGGAGGCAAGACTTACAAGCCTCAGAGATGTTGGGAGGATATTTTTGATGCTATCACAAAAGCGAGACACTTAATATACATTACAGGCTGGTCTGTTTATACTGAGTTTTCCTTGGTAAGGGATTCAAGAAGGCAAAGGCCGGGAGGTGACATAACACTTGGTGAGCTTCTTAAGAAAAAAGCACAAGAAGGTGTTAGGGTGTGTATGCTTATTTGGGATGATAGAACATCGGTTAAGTTTCTAAAGAGAGATGGTTTGATGGCTACTCATGATCAAGATACTGCGAAATACTTCCAAGGCTCTGCAGTGCAGTGTGTTTTATGCCCTCGGAATCCTGATGATGGTGGAAGCATTGTCCAAGATATATCAATTGCTAGCATGTTTACTCATCATCAGAAAATTGTGGTGGTGGACAGTGAGTTGCCAGGTCAAGATAAGCGCACAATTGTGAGTTTTGTTGGAGGCATTGATCTCTGTGATGGAAGATATGATACTCAGTTTCATTCACTTTTCAGAACCTTGGATACAGTACATCGTAATGATTTTCATCAGCCTAACTTTCCTGGTGCTACAATACAAAAAGGTGGTCCTAGGGAACCTTGGCATGATATCCACTCAAGGCTTGAAGGTCCCATTGCTTGGGATGTTAAGTTTAACTTTGAGCAAAGATGGAGGAAGCAAGGTGGAAAGGCCATGCTTGTTCCTCTGAGAGAGCTTCAACGCGTCCTTATTGACCAATCCCAGGTAACTTTCCCTGATGATCAAGAGACATGGAATGTTCAGTTATTTAGATCTATTGATGGTGGAGCAGCTTTCGGGTTCCCAGTAACTCCTGAAGATGCTGCTAAAGCCGGGCTTATTAGTGGGAAGGATAACATAATAGATCGCAGTATTCAAGATGCTTATATCAATGCTATTCGACGTGCCAAAAATTTCATCTACATTGAAAATCAATATTTCATTGGAAGCTGTTATGGGTGGAGTCCTGATGGGATTAAGCCTGAAGACATTGGTGCTTTGCATCTGATTCCAAAAGAGCTTTCACTTAAGATTGTTAGCAAGATTAAAGCTGGGGAAAAGTTCACTGTGTATATTGTGATTCCCATGTGGCCTGAAGGTATCCCAGAAAGTGCATCAGTTCAGGCAATATTAGACTGGCAGAGGAGAACACTGGATATGATGTACAGAGATATTATTCAAGCACTCAATGCCAAGGGAATTAAAGATGATCCTCGGAACTATTTGACATTCTTATGTCTTGGAAATCGGGAGGTGAAAAAACAAGGAGAGTATGAGCCTACTGAAAGACCAGAACCTGATACGGATTATATCCGAGCCCAAGAGGCCAGGCGTTTCATGATTTATGTTCATTCCAAGATGATGATAGGTAAGTAAAATCACCAAGTTTCCTCCTTTTGTATAACATTCTTTCAAACACTTCCTTTCCAATACTCTTTTTACGATTTGGTAAAATTCACATCATTCTGAATTTTACCAAACCATAAAAAGAGTATTTAGCACGTCTCATTTTCAGAATGATGGAGACCCGCATGAATATTACCCAAACCTCACTTGCTCATACTATTCTTTTTTTGCAGTTGATGATGAATACATAATCATTGGATCTGCTAACATCAACCAAAGGTCAATGGATGGAGCTAGGGACTCTGAAATAGCAATGGGAGGTTATCAGCCCTATCAATTAGCTAATAGGCAGCCTGCAAGGGGTGAGATTCATGGTTTCCGCATGTCGTTGTGGTACGAGCACCTTGGCATGCTTGAAGAATTATTCCTTCACCCAGAAAGTAAAGAATGCATTAGTAAGATAAACCAGATGGCGGACAAGAATTGGGATATCTATTCTAGCAACTCCCTACAGCAAGACCTCCCGGGACACCTTCTCCGCTATCCCATTGGGATTTCAAACGAAGGAAAGGTGACAGAGCTGCCAGGATTTGAATTCTTCCCCGACACCAAGGCTCGTGTTCTTGGCAGAAAGGTTGACTACCTGCCACCTATACTTACTACTTAGTTTCATTGTATGTTTTGTTCACTAAATAAAGTATTTGTTGTGTTAGTGTGAGCAATGACTGTAATAGTACAGTAGTCCTGCGAATAAGCTTTGAGATGATTAAGGACTATGTTGTTGATTTGTAATGCTCTAACTTTGATAAATTCTAGCTATGAGGCCTTGACATGTATCCTACTATATTTGTTTTGAAGTTTTTTCATTTTTTATCGGCCTACTCGCTGCTTAAATTTTCAGTAACTTGCAACTCTGTTGTAATAATACTTCACAATCATACCACTACAATGTGTTTCGTTCAATTATCACCTAACGCGTTAAAAATGTCTCAAATGAGATAGATGAATAATTGACTGAAACAAAAGCCTCATCATGATGCTTGTGACCCATTATTATTGGTTTGATAGAAATGGATATTCTCTAATGTTAGTAACAACTAACAAGTATTGTAAGGATATATTTTACTAAGATTTTTAATGAAATAAATTATTTTTTAAAGTTAATAAACATTTATTAACCTCTCCCTAATAAGGTAGTCGATGATTTTAGATATGTTTATATTATTTTGTTGAAAAAGAGTGGTTTAATCTTTTATTTTAGAACTCAATTAATTGGAGACTTGAGTATTTTTCTATTGTTCGGAAATCAGAAATGAATGTAATTGAGGAATTGATAATCTTGAAATGGAGGTGTTGATCTCTGTCACGACGGTGCAGAGTAAATTTGTGTGGTTAATACTCAAACACTCAAGTCAGTTTATGGACGACCTCCAGGATGTTGCTTGATGAAAGTTGAAATTGAAATGTTTGGAGTCAGTTAAAAAAGTTGTGGGAACAAGAGCATGAAATGCATTTCTGTCATGGAAATGTTTCACCGTCTTCTCTTGACGCATGGGCTGACGTGACAAGCTAGAGCATGACGTAACTTACAGTGCACTCAAGTTTGCGTGTATCCTTAAGTGGAAATTTAACAGTTGATTTCGCAACAACATTCTATTTGACTAGCCCAAGCGATAAGGAAAAGATGTGGCAGAGTCGGTGTGTTCAACCACTGTCAAATTTGGTGCTGGAAGAAAGGTCAAGAGATTGAGAACCGACAATGACCTTAAATTTTACAATGAGGCTTTCGACAATTTTTGTGCTACTTCTGGTATTGCAATGCACATAACTACTGCAGGTACTCCACAACAAAATGGTTTGACTGAAAGGTTTAATCGAACTATTTTGGAGAGAGTTAGATGCATGTTGACTAGTGCTGGGTTAAAGAAGGTGTTTTGAGCTGAGGCTGTTTCGACAACAACATATCTGATAAACAAATGTCCTTCGACTGCGTTAGATATGAAGACATCTGAAGAAGTTTGGTCGGGACATCCACCAGATCTCGACAAACTGAGAGTATTTAGCTGCGTAGCCTATGCTTACATTAGCCAAGACAAGGTCGAACCTAGAGCTCTGAAATGCATGTTCATGGGATATCCTGAAGGAGTCAAAGCTTATAGGCTATGGTGCCTAGAGCCAGGTCACATGAGGATTATCACCAGTCGAGATATAGTTTTCAATGAAGCTGAAATGACTTTAAATAAAACTGATGATATTGATCGAAGTGCAGAAATATCAAACGAAGAGCTAGAACAGAGAGAGATTCTTGTTGATGTGAAGCATGTTGATGCTGAATTGCTTATCCCAGATAATATACTAGTCCATTAGTTTGTAATGAGTATTTGTGAAAAGCCCATTAGTTTAGTATGTTAGGTTCATTATAAATAATATACTAGTCTCTCATCATTGCATACTGCAAATCCTAATTTAGGGTGAGAGAATTATTTGTTATTCTTGTGTACTTATAATCTTATTTGAAGAGAAAGTAAAAAATAGCAGTTAATAATTAATTTTTGTTGTTCTTCGTATTTTTCCATCTTATCTATCCTCGTTGATTTCTTGCCTTGAAAAATTCTAATATATTTTATTTCAAAGGTATCGTGTTTGAAAACAAAACTTATAAATACGGTTTTATAAAACAACTGTAATTGTAAAACTCTCAATTTTTTTTGAGAATTACTTTTTCACCCAAAATGACATATATATGTAATCCTACGAAAAAGAACTTTTAAAAATTAGAGTAGACATTAAAAAACATGTTTGTTGACAAAAACTTACAAATCTGTATTTTATGTTAGAATTATTCTATAAAAACAAAATTGTTTCTATTAAAGAAATTCACAAAAGATAGCCCTACTATATATGTTAAAGCCATATTTCATTGCAATGTCAACATCTAAAGTACAAAGAAGGTAATGTATAATTTGATTGATCGATTTGGCTTTGTATTTACTATGTGGCCAGTGGTCACACTACTATGGTATCACAATAAGTTCACAAAAGATCCTTAAATTGTTCTATCATTTCCACATTTCAACTCACACATTTATCACATCTCTCTTTCTATCTCTCTCCCTCATACACCTAGCTAGAGAGGGAAGATAATTCTAACCAACATGGTACAATCAAAGAAGTTCAGAGGTGTCAGGCAACGCCATTGGGGCTCTTGGGTCTCTGAGATTCGCCATCCATTATTGTATTAACCTCACTCTCTTTTTTTTAAGTTCTTTATAAACTTTTTATAAAAAATTTATTAATGCATGTTTGTATTTTATATGGTGGTGTGAATAGGAAAAGGAGGGTGTGGTTAGGAACATTTGAAACAGCTGAAGAAGCAGCTAAAGCATATGATGAAGCAGCAGTTTTGATGAGTGGAAGAACTGCAAAAACCAACTTTCCAATTAATATGGAAAATAAAATTTCATCTTCAAGTTCAAGTTCAAGTTCTCCAAAAGCATTTTCTGCAGTTCTGAGTGCAAAGCTAAGGAAGTGTTGCAAGTTTCCTTCACCTTCACTCACATGCTTGAGACTTGATGCAGAGAATTCGAACTTCGGTGTGTGGCAGAAAGGTGCAGGTCCTCGTTCTGAATCAAATTGGATTATGATGGTTGAATTAGAAAGGAAAAAAAGTGATTCTGTGGGAGAGAAAGTAAAGCCAGAAGAGGTGTTAAGTAATAATGGTTTGGATGATGAACAGAAAGTTGCTTTGCAGATGATAGAAGAACTTCTCAATAGAAACTAAATCAATGCTTTCACTTTCATGTGTGGGACTCATTGGAAGGAGAGTTAATTTGAAGTTCCATGAAGTTTGTACTTGTCTTGTCTTTGTTTGTTTGTCCTATGTAGGAGTGTGTTTTATGATGATTCATGTGCTGTGTTTTACTGTTTACTACATGTGTAACTGCCTATATCCTAAAGTTGAAATTTTATGTTCCTCTATTAAAAAAAAAACTATATACCTAGTTAACTAATTTGGAGATATTCTATGGTTTCATTCCATGCATAATTTCTACTATGATCTTAATGATAATTTTAATGAAGAGAACAGATTGTCTTCTATCGTCTCTCTTACTCTCAGTCCTTCATTTTCATTTGGTCCTGATTTCAATCATTCGTCCACCAATCAATATTGTTGATGGTATGAGACTCAGATGGGTGGTTGAGATTTTGATTCTCAAAAAATGTTATAAATAATGGTTTTGATTTTCTAAGTCTATTTTTAATGTTTAATATTAGTTAGGTTGTTGTTAAGATTAACGATTAACAATGTATGCAAGAAAATGGGCTCTAAATTTCCAATAGAAATAAACAAAACCTATTTAATAGAAAATGAAGTCTAGAGTCATATGTTGTGAAAACACGGATAATAATAGTGAATTTGTTGATTGGCTAAAACACATCAAGTTCCCGTGGACCCCCGATGCCACCGTGCACCATTGTCGATTTTGGTTGCTGGCCTGCGGCTATGTCATCCCTCATCGACCTTCCTGTTTCTTTTCATCTTTCTACAACTTTGATTTTTGAAAGTTTTGAAATACGATTTTATTCTTTCCGATACTTTAGATTTTAAGACATATTTCTATAATTCTTCATTGTGATTTTAAATTTATCCATCAACCACTTTATTACTCTCTAACATGTCGAAATCATTATTTAATAATTTTAATCAAGCTCAAACCATATTTTTCCGCTTTAGTAGCCTATAACAAGATCACAAATATGATTTTTCAACCATCTTTGACTCTCTTTGCTTTCGAATGTCTCTCTGAAAGTCTTTGTTTTCGAGGTATGTAACTCTTTAGTCACATTCAAAGAGTAATTGTAACTTTGAAATGATACAACTCCATCCTTACCTTGTCACAAATCAAATGATAATTAGAGACTTTTGTAATCCTTCCCTGACTAGTACTAGTATCCATAACATAACCTCCACCTCAAACTGAGTCTTTGATGCCATAGTTTCTAAAATCTTCATCTACATATCTTTACTCCTCATGTTCTTTCAAGACTAATTGAAAGTAATACATCTAAGATTGGTAAAATTTGATTCTACGTACTCCACTACCCACGACTTATAACTCTTATCATCTCTTGGATAGTTATTGAAGACATAATCACAATCTTACCATCAAGTTGAATTAGCATGATTTGATCAATAAGTAAAGTTTTAATTACCTTCAAAATATAGAAGTCTACAAATTTTCTACTTCAAACCTCCACAAGTGTCTAAAAGTTTATTCAAGTGTACGAACATCTGTTGAATAGGTAAGCTACTTTGGCATCAACTTTACCCCAAAAACTCAATAAAAACTCAGAGGTCAAATGTATTTTTATCATATGTCTCTTGTAAAACTCATTAAAGTGCTCTAAAATCACCTACAAACATCAAACGTGCCTTAACCTCAAATCACATAACTTGTTCTTATCATAAATGTCTTCATTAGCTGATGATGGAATGAACAACAACATTGAAACCTTCTAAATTATATAACCCATACATTTTAGACCATTTAATCATGAACACGTCATCATGCAAAATCTTCAACCATATACGTTAAACTCTAATGGAATAGCTTGTATCATCAAACATGATTATGGATATCAAATTTCAAATGAGCTCTAGAACACACCTCATATTGTATAGATAAAACTCACAATCATTAAACATTTTAATACAAATCGTATCAATATCATAAACCTTGTCAACCTTATTGTCACCAAGGCGGACTAATCCATATTTCTCGGGGTTCAAAATATCAAAGTATTTTTTTCTTGGACACGCGTGATAAAAGAAACCTTAATCTATGACCCAAATCTCTTCAACCTAAAAACTCGATACCAACAGTGCACTAACACTATCATAACTATCCTTATCTGAGGCAATAATAATATGAATAGAATCTTCATTATCCTCACGATTGGAACAATCCTTCATGAAGTGGTCAGATTTTTGACAAATAAATCATTTTAACTTTGAATTTCCAAACTTCTTAGATTTGGACATTCTTCTATAATCACTTCATCTTCTTGAGACACTCAAGCATTCACCAATATCATCAATTTTTAAATCTTTTACCTTTAAAAATCCTTGTATATATGAACTTCATCCAAAGTAATAGTACCTTACTTATCATAAGGAAGTGCATCCTTGAAGTGCTCAAAGGATCTGGATAATGAGCTTAACAAAAGTAAAACTTTCTATTCATCATCAATCTTCACCTCAATATTCTCCAGATCATTAATGATATTGTGAAATAATACCAACTTCTCCAGTATAGTTTTATTCTCTACCATTCTGAATAAATGAAGTTGTTATTTCAAACACAAACTGAGAGCTAAAGACTTGGTCATATACAAAGATTCAAACATTTCCCACATTAAAGTCAGAGTCTTCTCCTTGGTGACTTCCCTTATAACTTTATCCCAGAGACACAAGATAATGATATTCACGACCTTATCCACCATCTCGGTCTTATCATCTTATTTTATGCATACATGCATTGATGTATCACTCTTTAATGCTCCAATGCACTTTTATTTTTTACTTTCACTTATATATTCACTTTCCACAATGCAAAGTATTTGTTTGTAGAAAACTTCTCGATACTCTTTTATCATCCACGGTGCTCACTTGTTATGGGTGCCACTGGTTATGATAACTCTAATAATAATAGTGACTTCTTAGATAGGTTCAACGACATCAAGCTCTCATGGAATTTAAATCCATTACTAATTTTTTCAAGAGTAAATGTGTGTGGGACAAGAAACAATAGTAACTAAAATAAGTGGTCTCAAGCAATAAAAATAACCTATACATAATGTAAGCAAAACCAGAATTTTTTTTATTAATAACCATGTATTAAAAAAATATTTCGTAAATAACCGGGTTTCGGAAAAAATTACGCAAATAACCATGTTTGAGATGGCTCCACAAAGGAGGAGCCATCTCAATTGGCGCATGCACCTCCTTTTTTAAGGGAGGCGCCATCTCAATTGGCGCCTAAGTGCTTAGGGCATGCCCTAAGCCAAGTGAGATGGCGCCTATGTACAAATTTAGGGCAAAAAATTTTTTTTTTTATTTTCTTTCCTGTGCGTTGCCTATTAGACAGAGATCAACAAAATGGATTTTTTATTTAAAAAAAAATTACATTCAACTGTTTTACATTAAAAGAACAGTAAAAAAAATGGATACAAAAAATACTGGGAAAAAAAAAGATACATCAGTGATCCCCCGAAACCCGGTAATGACCCCCGGTTCCGCATCCCCGTCCTCGCCTTTCTCTTGCTGGGTGACGTCGCGTTTCCTGCTGCGGCAAGGTCGATGGCCCAGCGAAGTCAATGCGATCCGAATTCATAAAATCAGTAAGATCTCCATATCTCGAAGGTCCTCTCTGGTACAGTCGGTTACCCATACCCTCAAAGTTTGGTCGTGTTGGCGGTGGGTGGGGTTCCATGGTTGGTCGGTAGCATTGGTCGTCTGAGTATGGGGGGTAGAAAGGAAATGGATCTTGGGGTGTTTGGTATTGTGGATGTTGGGTTGTTTGGTGATATGGTGGTTGATGGTAGGTTTGGTCGACTTGGTCATAATCTTCTGACATTCCCATATCAGGGCTAAGGCTGGATGTTGAGGGCGCCATATTGGGATATGTGGAAGACTGAAATTGTGTCTGGGGTATGTGGGTGTGCTGGTATTGGGGTTGGTATTGTGGTTGGGTTTGAGGCATATCCGGGTATTGGTAGTTTGGTGGTGATTGTGGTTGGTAGTACGGCATTTGATTGTAGTTGTGTTGTGGTGGGGAATGTGGTTGTGTGTTTGTTGGTCTGTTTCTTCTTGGGGAGGCGCCATCTCACTTGGCGAAAGAGTACAAAAATGAATGGTGTCGCCACCCTATTTGGCGAATAAGAGGTGTCATTTGTTACAGCATAGGCTCAGGCTACGTGACAGCCTTTGGGATTCCTTTCTTTGTTGCATGCAAGGCCATTGGAGTTGATGGGTGGAGTCTTACACAAAACATTTATGTGTGCAGAATAGGGCCAGGATAGGTGGCAGGCTATGGGGTTTCATAAGCCCATGCATGTATCACGATTGGACAGTAAGGGAGGCGCCATCTCACTTGGCGAAAGAGTACAAAAATGAATGGTGTCGCCACCCCATTTGGCGAATAAGAGGTGTCACTTCTTACAGCATAGGCTCAGGCTACGTGACAGCCTTTGGGATTCCTTTCTTTGTTGCATGCAAGGCCATTGGAGTTGATGGGTGGAGTCTTACACAAAACATTTATGTGTGCAGAATAGGGCCAGGATAGGTGGCAGGCTATGGGGTTTCATAAGCCCATGCATGTATCACGATTGGACAGTAAGGGAGGCGCCATCTCACTTGGCGAAAGAGTACAAAAATGAATGGTGTCGCCACCCCATTTGGCGAATAAGAGGTGTCACTTCTTACAGCATAGGCTCAGGCTACGTGACAGCCTTTGGGATTCCTTTCTTTGTTGCATGCAAGGCCATTGGAGTTGATGGGTGGAGTCTTACACAAAACATGTATGTGTGCAGAATAGGGCCAGGATAGGTGGCAGGCTATGGGGTTTCATTATTGCATGTAATATTATTGGCAGCCTTGGGGGGTTGCATCCCTTACTTAATTGAAATTTTTTGCCTTACGTTGAACATAACATTGATTCACATAATCTGTAAAATCTTCCAACCTTCGAATCAGTCATCAAACCTTCAAACATTCCAGCA